TGCGTCTGGGGCGGCTGGCGCACAGGTGAGTGGCTACCAGTGTTAATACGGTGCTGCACAATATTAGTACGTCCAGGGCTGTCCCCCTCGTCAAAAACATCCAGAAAGTCTCCAAGTAAAGTTAGCATTTGGTCCCGGATGGTCGCTGGGACGGATGGGTTGAGGGAGACTTGATTAAGGATAGACGAAACAGTAACAGTGGGTGGAGTAAGCAGTGGTTGCTGAGGACTGTCTAAAGCTATTGGCGTTGTATCAAGAGTGACCTGATTGTGAGGAAGATCTATGAAAGCGGAGTGAGCAGTAAGGACATCGACGCACAGGATCAGGTCCCATGTAATGTCGGGGCAGATAAGACAACAGTGGTGAACTACTAGGCTCCCCAGGCGTAGCTTGATAGGATCCCACACACTTTGTTATTGTTCAATTATCTTAACGACTGTTAATCTCGCATAAGTGGTATATCATCATTCCCCACGCATTTTGTTATTGACTATTACGACCAATTATTTCAAATACTGTTAGCTGTCTGTATTGGTTGTAAAAATGTATAAATACCATTTCCTAAATAAGTTTCTTTGTCGTAGTTGTTGTACTACAATACACAGTCACAGACCAGACTTTGTCTTTTGATATTTGCGTGGTTCGCTGAATCGGAAGGTACCAGAAGCAGATAGGCAAATTAGTCAGGCGCAGATAGAATAAGGCGACAACGTCCTCATTTAATTCCCCTACAGTTACAACAAATTGGCGATGGGGTTTACTTTAATTCATTGCAGTTATAACAAGCAAGCGACGACGGGTTTTATTCTGTTCAGCGCAGCTATAGAACATTTTTGACTGTGTTAATTACAACCCAATTACAATGTCTATCTCTCTGGACGATCTCAAATCTATCTTGCAGCAGCAGCAAGTTCAGAATGAAGCAGCTCAACTAAAATTAATCGAAGCTCTCACTCAGAAGCTGTCCATTCAAGTTCCAACAACATCTCATTCAGACAAATATGAAAGCATCTCAAATTCCATCAGTGAGTTCAACTACGACCCAATATCTGGTCTCGTATTTGATGCATGGTTCAATCGTTATGAAGACGTTTTCCGTATTGAATGCTACATGTTTGATGATGCTGCCAAAGTCCGATTGTTACTAAGAAAACTTGGTACTGTTGAGCACAACAGATATGTTAACTTCATTCTGCCTAAGAACCCACGTGAGTTATCATTCGATGAGACAGTCACCGTTTTATCACAAATCTTTGGTGAACAGTCATCCATGTTTAATATTCGGTATCAATGTTTTCAGTTGACAAAAATGCCTTCCGATGATTATGTCACTTACGCTGGCAAAGTGAACAAGGAATGCGAAAGGTTCAAACCACACGAAATGACATCAGATCAGTTCAAGTGTTTGATTTTTATTTGTGGGTTGAAGAACCCAGAAGATACTGACATAAGAACTCGACTTCTGTCACTCGTGGAACAAGACCCGAAAATGACTTTACAAATGGTGACAGCAGAATGCCAACGCTTAATCAACTTGAAGCACGATACTGCTATGGTGGAGTGCAAACGACAGTCTTCTGAATTTGGTTCAGTTAACACAGTGAAAAGTCCTCCGATCACCGTTAAGCACACAGCACGTCAGTCTCAGAATTCAGCTAAACCTCCTTCAGTGTGCTGGCACTGTGGTTCGTGGCATTTTGTCAAGTTCTGTCCCTTCAAGAAACATAAATGCCGTAATTGTCACCGTTTTGGACATAAAGAGGGTTACTGTCCACCACAGAAAAATTCTTCGGTGAAGAACAGAAGTAGTCGTTTCAAGTCGAAACAATCTCCTGGAATACAGACCATTTTCACAACTTCCAAAGTCGATTTCGCCAGCAAACGTAAGTACATTACACTACGTATTAACGGCAAATCTATTCGTCTTCAGTTGGATACGGCATCAGATATCACCTTAATTTCCCGAACTACGTGGCGCAAACTTGGGTGTCCACAGATTCTGCCGACCGAGCATGTCGCTAAGAATGCCTCTGGAGATATACTGAAACTCGTGGGTGAGATAAATTGCCAGGTTCAGTTTGGTGAGCATCAGTTCAATGGTGTATGTTACGTCACAAACTACCATGATTTGAATTTGCTTGGTCTTGACTGGTTAGACAAGCTCCATATCTTCAATGTACCATTAAATTCAGTATGCTCTAATGTTTCGTCCTCACCAAAGAACGTTGTTCCCGGACATGTATCTGATCAGTCTCTCTTGCAACGCCTGCGTGCTTATGCAAAAGCGAAGGGGGAGGGAACAACAGAAGAAATTTTGGATAGATTCTTGCTGCATTATCGTACGACGCCAAATCCTTCCGCAGCCGGAAGCCCGGGACGCAGATCACACTCTATCCAGTACCACGCGAAGGTCAACTCGACAAAGAAGAGCTCCGAAACCTTTCAAATAGATCCAAAAAGCAAGTCCTACACTTTTAACGGGGAGAGGTGATAGGATCCCACACACTTTGTTATTGTTCAATTATCTTAACGACTGTTAATCTCGCGTAAGTGGTATATCATCATTCCCCACGCATTTTGTTATTGACTATTACGACCAATTATTTCAAATACTGTTAGCTGTCTGTATTGGTTGTAAAAATGTATAAATACCATTTCCTAAATAAGTTTCTTTGTCGTAGTTGTTGTACTACAATACACAGTCACAGACCAGACTTTGTCTTTTGATATTTGCCTGGTTCGCTGAATCGGAAGGTACCAGAAGCAGATAGGCATATTAGTCAGGCGCAGATAGAATAAGGCGACAACGTCCTCATTTAATTCCGGCTACGGTTACAACATAGCTGTAGGTTGGTGACCTCTTGAGCATTGATCTTAGCGCCATTCGCCATGTTCAGCACATTATGAGTGGGGACAGGGGATGGATAGTGGGTCAGCTGGTGTAGAAGGGATGTCCGGACCAAGGACACTGATGCCCCAGTATCCAATAAAATCTTAGTTCGCACACCATTAACAAATCCCCACACAGTAAGAGGTTCATTATTACATGAAAATGTAGACAAATTGTGAAAAGGAGACTTACTGTTAACCCGGGGACGGTTGTGTCCGCACTTACGAGCTTTTCTTCCGTAACGTCTGCAATAGTAGCATTGAGTAGAGGTGGTATCTGCATCTGGGCGCCTCTGGGAACGCGTTGGGTTGCGAGGGGCGGTGGCAAGGGCAGCTGCCGTCGATGCCGTTGGAATGGTACGGAAAGAGGTACTGGCTGACGATATAGTGTCGCGCTCGGCGTCCATAAAGCGCGAAATGACACGCTGCAGCTCAGTTGTGCTTGCGGGGGGTGGCGGAGTAGGTCTGTTCGTAGGTTGCCGGGCAAAACCCCTTCGACGAAGCGTGTCCGCACCAGGCGGTCTCGGTGACTGGGATCTGCGCTGTCGTCCACTTCAGCTGCCATAAGTTGTAAAGCGTGGAAATAGTCTAGGGGACTTTCCCCAATTAATTGTCGACGGCTGAAAAACTTCAGGAGGGCATGATCTGAGCCCAATTGTAAATCGAAGCAATTGTTGAGTATCTGCCAGTTTGCCGGCATGGATTTGGTGCTGCTGAAGCCGGCAGCGTCCGCACGGGCAAAAGCATCCTCAGATAGGGCGTTTAGGAAATGAAGAAAATGGTGAGCTGGTGGGGATATGCTGAGGAATGCCTGCAAGCGTTTCTTCCATCTCGGATAGTCTGAGGACAGCTGCAACGTTGGAGGACGGGGCAACGTTGGCCCAGTGGGCGAGGTGAGTTCACTGTCTTCTGGGAATAGCTTGGGGAGGCCGTAATCTGATGATGAATCCATGTTGACTGTCGAATTGGGCACCTCCGACACCAATTTGTAACAGATATTCCACAGGGTCACAGACAGAGAAAGAAGAAGACGCAGAGTGCGATGAAAGGTCTATATTATCAGCATGCAAGGTTTAAATTAAGCGGTTACAAGTTAATTTTCATCTGTCGCTTAATTTTAACCTTGCATGCTGATAATATAGACCTTTCATCGCACTCTGCGTCTTCTTCTTTCTCTGTCTGTGACCCTGTGGAATATCTGTTACAAATTGGTGTCGGAGGTGCCCAATTCGACAGTCAACATGGATTCATCATCAGATTACGGCCTCCCCAAGCTATTCCCAGAAGACAGTGAACTCACCTCGCCCACTGGGCCAACGTTGCCCCGTCCTCCAACGTTGCAGCTGTCCTCAGACTATCCGAGATGGAAGAAACGCTTGCAGGCATTCCTCAGCATATCCCCACCAGCTCACCATTTTCTTCATTTCCTAAACGCCCTATCTGAGGATGCTTTTGCCCGTGCGGACGCTGCCGGCTTCAGCAGCACCAAATCCATGCCGGCAAACTGGCAGATACTCAACAATTGCTTCGATTTACAATTGGGCTCAGATCATGCCCTCCTGAAGTTTTTCAGCCGTCGACAATTAATTGGGGAAAGTCCCCTAGACTATTTCCACGCTTTACAACTTATGGCAGCTGAAGTGGACGACAGCGCAGATCCCAGTCACCGAGACCGCCTGGTGCGGACACGCTTCGTCGAAGGGGTTTTGCCCGGCAACCTACGAACAGACCTACTCCGCCACCCCCCGCAAGCACAACTGAGCTGCAGCGTGTCATTTCGCGCTTTATGGACGCCGAGCGCGACACTATATCGTCAGCCAGTACCTCTTTCCGTACCATTCCAACGGCATCGACGGCAGCTGCCCTTGCCACCGCCCCTCGCAACCCAACGCGTTCCCAGAGGCGCCCAGATGCAGATACCACCTCTACTCAATGCTACTATTGCAGACGTTACGGAAGAAAAGCTCGTAAGTGCGGACACAACCGTCCCCGGGTTAACAGTAAGTCTCCTTTTCACAATTTGTCTACATTTTCATGTAATAATGAACCTCTTACTGTGTGGGGATTTGTTAATGGTGTGCGAACTAAGATTTTATTGGATACTGGGGCATCAGTGTCCTTGGTCCGGACATCCCTTCTACACCAGCTGACCCACTATCCATCCCCTGTCCCCACTCATAATGTGCTGAACATGGCGAATGGCGCTAAGATCAATGCTCAAGAGGTCACCAACCTACAGCTATGTTGTAACCGTAGCCAGAATTAAATGAGGACGTTGTCGCCTTATTCTATCTGCGCCTGACTAATATGCCTATCTGCTTCTGGTACCTTCCGATTCAGCGAACCACGCAAATATCAAAAGACAAAGTCTGGTCTGTGACTGTGTATTGTAGTACAACAACTACGACAAAGAAACTTATTTAGGAAATGGTATTTATACATTTTTACAACCAATACAGACAGCTAACAGTATTTGAAATAATTGGTCGTAATAGTCAATAACAAAATGCGTGGGGAATGATGATATACCACTTATGCGAGATTAACAGTCGTTAAGATAATTGAACAATAACAAAGTGTGTGGGATCCTATCACCTCTCCCCGTTAAAAGTGTAGGACTTGCTTTTTGGATCTATTTGAAAAGGTTTCGGAGCTCTTCTTTGTCGAGTTGACCTTCGCGTGGTACTGGATAGAGTGTGATCTGCGTCCCGGGCTTCCGGCTGCGGAAGGATTTGGCGTCGTACGATAATGCAGCAAGAATCTATCCAAAATTTCTTCTGTTGTTCCCTCCCCCTTCGGTTTTGCATAAGCACGCAGGCGTTGCAAGAGAGACTGATCAGATACATGTCCGGGAACAACGTTCTTTGGTGAGGACGAAACATTAGAGCATACTGAATTTAATGGTACATTGAAGATATGGAGCTTGTCTAACCAGTCAAGACCAAGCAAATTCAAATCATGGTAGTTTGTGACGTAACATACACCATTGAACTGATGCTCACCAAACTGAACCTGGCAATTTATCTCACCCACGAGTTTCAGTATATCTCCAGAGGCATTCTTAGCGACATGCTCGGTCGGCAGAATCTGTGGGCACCCAAGTTTGCGCCACGTAGTTCGGGAAATTAAGGTGATATCTGATGCCGTATCCAACTGAAGACGAATAGATTTGCCGTTAATACGTAGTGTAATGTACTTACGTTTGCTGGCGAAATCGACTTTGGAAGTTGTGAAAATGGTCTGTATTCGAGGAGATTGTTTCGGCTTGAAACGACTACTTCTGTTCTTCACCGAAGAATTTTTCTGTGGTGGACAGTAACCCTCTTTATGTCCAAAACGGTGACAATTACGGCATTTATGTTTCTTGAAAGGACAGAACTTGACAAAATGCCACGAACCACAGTGCCAGCACACTGAAGGAGGTTTAGCTGAATTCTGAGACTGACGTGCTGTGTGCTTAACGGTGATCGGAGGACTTTTCACTGTGTTAATTGAACCAAATTCAGACGACTGTCGTTTGCACTCCACCATAGCAGTATCGTGCTTCAAGTTGATTAAGCGTTGGCATTCTGCTGTCACCATTTGTAAAGTCATTTTCGGGTCTTGTTCCACGAGTGACAGAAGTCGAGTTCTTATGTCAGTATCTTCTGGGTTCTTCAACCCACAAATAAAAATCAAACACTTGAACTGATCTGATGTCATTTCGTGTGGTTTGAACCTTTCGCATTCCTTGTTCACTTTGCCAGCGTAAGTAACATAATCATCGGAAGGCATTTTTGTCAACTGAAAACATTGATACCGAATATTAAACATGGATGACTGTTCACCAAAGATTTGTGATAAAACGGTGACTGTTTCATCGAATGATAACTCACGTGGGTTCTTAGGCAGAATGAAGTTAACATATCTGTTGTGCTCAACAGTACCAAGTTTTCTTAGTAACAATCGGACTTTGGCAGCATCATCAAACATGTAGCATTCAATACGGAAAACGTCTTCATAACGATTGAACCATGCATCAAATACGAGACCAGATATTGGGTCGTAGTTGAACTCACTGATGGAATTTGAGATGCTTTCATATTTGTCTGAATGAGATGTTGATGGAACTTGAATGGACAGCTTCTGAGTGAGAGCTTCGATTAATTTTAGTTGAGCTGCTTCATTCTGAACTTGCTGCTGCTGCAAGATAGATTTGAGATCGTCCAGAGAGATAGACATTGTAATTGGGTTGTAATTAACACAGTCAAAAATGTTCTATAGTTGCGCTGAACAGAATAAAACCCGTCGTCGCTTGCTTGTTATAACTGCAATGAATTAAAGTAAACCCCGTCGCCAATTTGTTATAACTGTAGCGGAATTAAATGAGGACGTTGTCGCCTTGTTCTGTCTGCGCCTGACTAATATGCCTATCTGCTTCTGGTACCTTCCGATTCAGCGAACCACGCAAATATCAAAAGACAAAGTCTGGTCTGTGACTGTGTATTGTAGTACAACAACTACGACAAAGAAACTTATTTAGGAAATGGTATTTATACATTTTTACAACCAATACAGACAGCTAACAGTATTTGAAATAATTGGTCGTAATAGTCAATAACAAAATGCGTGGGGAATGATGATATACCACTTATGCGAGATTAACAGTCGTTAAGATAATTGAACAATAACAAAGTGTGTGGGATCCTATCACCTCTCCCCGTTAAAAGTGTAGGACTTGCTTTTTGGATCTATTTGAAAAGGTTTCGGAGCTCTTCTTTGTCGAGTTGACCTTCGCGTGGTACTGGATAGAGTGTGATCTGCGTCCCGGGCTTCCGGCTGCGGAAGGATTTGGCGTCGTACGATAATGCAGCAAGAATCTATCCAAAATTTCTTCTGTTGTTCCCTCCCCCTTCGCTTTTGCATAAGCACGCAGGCGTTGCAAGAGAGACTGATCAGATACATGTCCGGGAACAACGTTCTTTGGTGAGGACGAAACATTAGAGCATACTGAATTTAATGGTACATTGAAGATATGGAGCTTGTCTAACCAGTCAAGACCAAGCAAATTCAAATCATGGTAGTTTGTGACGTAACATACACCATTGAACTGATGCTCACCAAACTGAACCTGGCAATTTATCTCACCCACGAGTTTCAGTATATCTCCAGAGGCATTCTTAGCGACATGCTCGGTCGGCAGAATCTGTGGGCACCCAAGTTTGCGCCACGTAGTTCGGGAAATTAAGGTGATATCTGATGCCGTATCCAACTGAAGACGAATAGATTTGCCGTTAATACGTAGTGTAATGTACTTACGTTTGCTGGCGAAATCGACTTTGGAAGTTGTGAAAATGGTCTGTATTCGAGGAGATTGTTTCGGCTTGAAACGACTACTTCTGTTCTTCACCGAAGAATTTTTCTGTGGTGGACAGTAACCCTCTTTATGTCCAAAACGGTGACAATTACGGCATTTATGTTTCTTGAAAGGACAGAACTTGACAAAATGCCACGAACCACAGTGCCAGCACACTGAAGGAGGTTTAGCTGAATTCTGAGACTGACGTGCTGTGTGCTTAACGGTGATCGGAGGACTTTTCACTGTGTTAACTGAACCAAATTCAGACGACTGTCGTTTGCACTCCACCATAGCAGTATCGTGCTTCAAGTTGATTAAGCGTTGGCATTCTGCTGTCACCATTTGTAAAGTCATTTTCGGGTCTTGTTCCACGAGTGACAGAAGTCGAGTTCTTATGTCAGTATCTTCTGGGTTCTTCAACCCACAAATAAAAATCAAACACTTGAACTGATCTGATGTCATTTCGTGTGGTTTGAACCTTTCGCATTCCTTGTTCACTTTGCCAGCGTAAGTGACATAATCATCGGAAGGCATTTTTGTCAACTGAAAACATTGATACCGAATATTAAACATGGATGACTGTTCACCAAAGATTTGTGATAAAACGGTGACTGTCTCATCGAATGATAACTCACGTGGGTTCTTAGGCAGAATGAAGTTAACATATCTGTTGTGCTCAACAGTACCAAGTTTTCTTAGTAACAATCGGACTTTGGCAGCATCATCAAACATGTAGCATTCAATACGGAAAACGTCTTCATAACGATTGAACCATGTATCAAATACGAGACCAGATATTGGGTCGTAGTTGAACTCACTGATGGAATTTGAGATGCTTTCATATTTGTCTGAATGAGATGTTGTTGGAACTTGAATGGACAGCTTCTGAGTGAGAGCTTCGATTAATTTTAGTTGAGCTGCTTCATTCTGAACTTGCTGCTGCTGCAAGATAGATTTGAGATCGTCCAGAGAGATAGACATTGTAATTGGGTTGTAATTAACACAGTCAAAAATGTTCTATAGTTGCGCTGAACAGAATAAAACTCGTCGTCGCTTGCTTGTTATAACTGCAATGAATTAAAGTAAACCCCGTCGCCAATTTGTTATAACGGTAGGGGAATTAAATGAGGACGTTGTCGCCTTATTCTATCTGCGCCTGACTAATATGCCTATCTGCTTCTGGTACCTTCCGATTCAGCGAACCAGGCAAATATCAAAAGACAAAGTCTGGTCTGTGACTGTGTATTGTAGTACAACAACTACGACAAAGAAACTTATTTAGGAAATGGTATTTATACATTTTTACAACCAATACAGACAGCTAACAGTATTTGAAATAATTGGTCGTAATAGTCAATAACAAAATGCGTGGGGAATGATGATATACCACTTATGCGAGATTAACAGTCGTTAAGATAATTGAACAATAACAAAGTGTGTGGGATCCTATCAAGCTACGCCTGGGGAGCCTAGTAGTTCACCACTGTTGTCTTATCTGCCCCGACATTACATGGGACCTGATCCTGTGCGTCGATTTCCTTACTGCTCACTCCGCTTTCATAGATCTTCCTCACAATCAGGTCACTCTTGATACAACGCCAATAGCTTTAGACAGTCCTCAGCAACCACTGCTTACTCCACCCACTGTTACTGTTTCGTCTATCCTTAATCAAGTCTCCCTTAACCCATCCGTCCCAGCGACCATCCGGGACCAAATGCTAACTTTACTTGGGGACTTTCTGGATGTTTTTGACGAGGGGGACAGCCCTGGACGTACTAATATTGTGCAGCACCGTATTAACACTGGTAGCCACTCACCTGTGCGCCAGCCGCCCAGACGCATCCCTGTTCATTATCAGCCCCAGCTAGAAATGTTGTTACAGGACATGCTAGACAAGAAGATCATCGTACCTTCCTCGTCCCCATGGGCGTCACCTATTGTGTTAGTTAAGAAGAAGGATGGATCTCTCCGTATGTGCATCGACTATCGCAAACTGAACTCTGTGACGAGGCGTGACTCCTTCCCGGTCCCTCGCATTGACTCTACTCTCGACGCACTGAGTGGCTCAAAATGGTTTTCCACGTTAGATTTAGCATCTGGGTACTGGCAAATTGAAGTACACCCGGACGACTGCCCAAAAACTGCCTTCATACTCCCGACTGGGTTGTATGAATTCCGCACCATGCCATTTGGGTTGTGTAATGCCCCCGCCACCTTTCAACGGCTGATGCAGGTTGTACTGGATAGGCTAGTCCCACGCAAATGTTTGATCTATCTTGACGATATCGTTGTCCACGGGAAATCCCCGGAGGAACACATAGACGACCTACGCACTGTTTTCAAACGCTTACGAACTGCTGGCTTAAAGCTGAAACCGTCTAAGTGTACCTTCCTTCAGCAAGAAGTTGTTTTCTTGGGTCACCGCATTTCACCAGACGGCATCCAGACAGATCCAACAAAAACCCGCCTCATTTCTGACTGGCCCGTACCACAGTGTACTAAAGACGTCCGCAGCTTTCTGGGCTTAGCGTCGTACTATCGTCGTTTTGTCCCCGCGTTCGCCACTATAGCGTCACCCCTGCATCGCTTAACGGAACAGGGTCGAAAATTTTTGTGGACTAGTGAGTGCCAAAACGCTTTTAACGAGTTGAAGAAACGTCTCACATCATCACCCATCCTCGCATTCCCTGACACGTCCCCATCCGCTGGCTCCTTCATTTTAGATACTGATGCAAGTGCTACTGCCATTGGCGCTGTCCTCTCCCAAGTGGCGCCTGATGGTCAAGAACGGGTTATTGCATATGCTAGCCGTAAGCTGGACAAACGTGAAACCCGCTACTCCACGACGCGCCGAGAGATGCTGGCCCTCCTCAAACATTTATGCCATTACCTTCTCGGACGCCCATTTTGAGCACGCACTGACCATCGTGCCCTGCAGTGGCTTCAAACTTTTCGCGAACCCGAAGGCCAGGTCGCTCGCTGGCAGGAGCATTTGCAGGAGTTCGATTTTACCTGTGAATATCGCCCTGGGCCCCGACACGCTAACGCTGATGCCCTCTCCCGTCTGCCGCCTTATGTCTCCCCGGTAAATGCTATACTGAATACAGGCCTAGATGTTGATTAGGCAGCACTGCAGGCGGCTGACGCGGACATCCAACCTGTGTAACCACGTCAACTTCACGGGAACGATAAACCGTCGAGTAAAGAACTACGGAGTCTGTCTGACGCAACCGGATGCATCTGTGGTAAGTGGGGTGTGCTACGCCTGATTGATAACGTCTTGTATGTAGTCGAATCGCCATTGTCACCGCGCCTTATCGTACCACGTCTGAAGGTCCCGGAGGTAATACATCTCGTACACCAGCAACTTGGCCACGCTGGCCAACGGAAAACCGAACACGCTGTCCGTCAACGCTTTTGGTGGCCACTCCTTCATCACGACGTCACTGAATTCTGCAGAAATTGAGCTACGTGTGCCCAAATTAAGCAGCCTAATCCAGTCTCGCGAGCACCATTGGTTCCGATGTTAACCGAGTGGGGATAGATATTATGGGGCCAGTCACAGCGTCGAGACGTGGTAACCATTACATACTCGTAATGGTAGACTATTTCACCAAGTGGTGCGAGGCTGTTCCCCTGCAACACCAGGATGCCCTGACGATCGGTCGCACCTTCATTGATACGTGGGTGTCTCGTTTTGGTGCCCCCCTTTATCTACACTCCGATCAAGGCACTGCTTTCGAGAGTAACCTCATCGCGCACATCTGTAATACGTTTGCCATTCGGAAAACGCACACGACATCCTACCATCCACAAGGTAATGGGCTGGTGGAACGCGCCAACAGAACCATCAAGAATCTTCTCCGTGCCTTCCTACATAACGCTCCGGAAAACACCTGAGACGACCTCCTGCCCCAGTGCTTGTTGGCTTATCGCTCCTCCGTGCATTCCTCAACGGGTTTTTCTCTAGCTATGATGTTGTTCGGGCGCGAACTCCGTCTACCAGTCGAGATCCAGGCGCCAATGCTACCGTATGAGAGAATCGACTGCATACCCTATGTACGACATCTTCGTCATCACCTGGAGGTAGCATACGGGCTGGCGCGCCGTCATCTCCACTCCTCTTTAGAGCACCAGAAGAGCATCTACGACCGGTTAGCTCGCGGACCCACGTATTCTCTCGGTGATTACGTCTGGCTACATCGACCGTCAGTTCCCGCTGGTTCGTGCCAAAAATTCTACGCGCCATGGCAAGGGCCATACGAGATCGTCCAACACCGACCCCCGACTGCGTACATCCTGCGGAATCTACGACGCCCTCATCTCCGCCCACTACAACCAACTGAAACCGCATCATCCCGCCGCCGCCAAGGCGCCGCCGAACCCCTCCCAACCGCCGCCTGCCGCTAGCTTCGTTGAGGTGCCGTCTGCCGGAGGCACGGCATACCCTATACCACCATCAGGCACTGAGGACAGTGCCCACAGAAGGGGGGAGGCAATGTAATAGGACAAAAACCAGTATAATATCACTAAATAAGTTTTTCTTTTCTTCTTTTGCAGAAACCAATGCTAGCATAAACTCATTGGAACAAGAAGAGGAACGTTTAGCTGGACTTGTTTTAACAGATGATAATTAACTTGTAACCGACTGAGTGCTGGCGGAGGGGTGACGGATGAGATTTACAACCGTATAATGAAGGCTAGGGTGGCATACATCAACTTGTGCCACCTCTGGCACCGTCGCGACGTTAGCCTGGCTGTCAAAGGTCGGGTATACAATGCTTCGGTGCGAGCTGTCTTGCTCTACGCCTGCGTAATATGAAATAGGATATTAATGGAGACACGTGTCCAAAAAATAAATTATGTAATGAATAGGAAGAGTAAATAAAAAGTTGGTTCAGAAAAAGATGTTACTAAGATGCCATACGGAAATTCAAGAAACGAAAACGAAAACAAAGAATTATTAACAAGGTCGTAGAATTTGGAATTTTACCCAAGGTGGAAGAATGAAGTGCAGAACTTCCTTCTGTGTCATAAGGAAACTCTTCGCTGAACTTTTTCTTCTTAAATTTATGCCTGAATGGGTATCTTGTGTGAATTAAAAATAAGCATAACAAATGAACATTTAGAGAAAACATTATTATAACTAACCATTCGTCATCGATTGAATGCAGCGCTTTATAATATCCAAAATTAGATGAGGGCTAAGATCGGGATGACTTAATACATGGATAAGAGCTCGTTCAAACCACTGCATAGTTTCAAATTGAATCAGAAGATCAGATAGCCCAGTCGAGAACTGATCTAAAAAGGAGGGTAAAACTCACATTGACAGTATTTGGGCAATCAATCATCAGTGAATGTAATAAGATAAAATCAAATAGCAAGGTCAACAGTCGCAAAAATGAAACAGTAATTTGATACTGTTGTCGGATGAATTATAAACAAACAAGTCATCACACCCAAATATACCTGGTTATCGACTATTAAAAGTGTCAAGTGTTATTTGGATCATCTCAATATATATATATATATATATATATATATATATTGGTAATTTCTAAGTATGACAAGGTACTCTGTAGAAATTGATGCACATGCAAACATCATCATGAATTATCATGCTATTTTACACTAAACAATTTGACATTTGACAACTAACAGGAAATGTATATTATTATTATTGTATCCTTTAATTCCTAGAGGAACATAGGGCTTCAGCCGTGCGTCCCCATTGAGTTCGGTTCTCTGCTAGAGTCTTCACCTGGCTCCATGTCTGCCCACACGTTTTCATCTCCTCTTCACATGACCTCCTCCAAGTCACCCTTGCACTGACGACCAACTCGCCGCTTCCCTTTCGGGTTCCACTCGAGCAATGGATTGTCTAGTGATGTCACTTGATGGTTTCCTCAGAGTATGGCCAATCCATCTCCATTTCTTCCTGCTTATTTGTTTCACAATCGGTTCCTGGTTGGTTCGCTCCCAGAGATCCCTGACTACTGCTGATCTTTTCTGGCCGGCCATCTGATCTTGAGTATTGAGCGAAGACGACTGTTAATGAAGGTCTGTAGTTTGTTTGAGATGCTCTTTATGACGCGCCAAGTCTCTGATCCGTATAGTAGCACTGACTTCACATTGGAGTTGAAAATCTGGATCTTATTTTTGATGCTGAGTGCTGTTGACCTCCACACACACAGTGGACAGTAGGAAAAAGTGCAAATGCAATAGTTGTACAGTTTTGAACACTTTTTAAGACAAATAAATAACCTTGTTTTTCTTTTTCAGCGTTACGGTGGTGCATAGGATAAACCTTGGGGTGTAGAATCAATCGGACGCAATTAAAACAAATGACATTAGAACCAATTAGACAGAACGATTAGTAATATCATTAAGACAGACTGTCAGTAAACGGTATAATGCTAAGTCATTGGAAGAAAAACAGCTCACATACACAATGACTAGTAATTGTCAAAGTTCGGAGTCTGGGTTTTGTCATGATATTCTAGACAATGTGTAATTTACAACCAATGCACACAAGTAAGCATTGCTTTTTGCTGAGTCACACTAATGACCTTTACCAATTTATGAATACACAACAAGCTACATATCAAAATTTTATCATCGCTGGTGTTCAGATATTATAAAACAGAATTAATATCACTTAGTGTATTAATTGCTATGGTTTAATAAACTACCATCATTTTCAAGAAAATCTAGTTTTCCCAACAGTTAGAACCATTCAGATCACATTTTCGTCATCAAGAAAAAAAATCGACCCACTGAAATTGGATTACGTAAGTCACACAGTCTATTCATTAATGGATATTTTCTAGGAATGATAACACACAAACATTTGTCAAATGTTTGTTGTTGGTTTTGGTGCCTTGGTCTCAATCAAGGCCAGAAATCAGGTTAGCAAAGTTATTAACCCTACGTCGGTGGCACACCGATAGAATGCTCGCCAACCACTCATGCGGTCCGGCGTTCGATCCCCGACCGACGCACTCCTTTACCTCGCTAAGCCAGTAAAGAGGGAAGTTTGGGCATGAGGCTAGCAACACCATCCCAAAAAATAAACACCACTGCTACCGAAACTTCAAGACACTCTAGCCTGAAGCCCTATGTTCCAGTGGGAACGTAAAGGAATAAAATAAAATAATAATATTAAAACTTGTCTAGACAGCATCATTTCAACTACAGGCAGTAGTACGGACGAAGATGTCAAAACCAGTATCGGAAAGACAGACATATATCACTCTGAAATCATTCTGGGAATCTACTGCACCCATCAGAAAGAATAAGATTTAGAATTTCAAACTTTAATGTCATATCAGTTCTTCTATATGGTTCAGAGACTTGGTGTGCCGCCCAAAAGCATTCCTAGCAGGCTGTGGCGAACATTTATCAACAGTTACCTTCTCTCCATACTGAAGATCAGATGGTCAGAAATGATAAGCAACGAGGAACTTTGACAGTGCAGTGAACCAACCAAGAACCTATCAACCAACAAATATGTAGCAGAAAATGGAAATGGATTGAAGGTATACACTGATGCGACATTCAAGTAACATCAAACACCAAGCAATCGAGTGTAACCTGAATATGTAACGACAAGTTGGGTGTTCGAGGGTGACATGGAGATAGTGTGAGAAGGAAATGAGAGCCTATGGGCAACTGTGGAGTCAGCTAAAGAGAGCTGCAAGAAATAGGATGAAATGGAAATGTGCTGCTGGAGCCCTATATTCCACTCAAAATCTAAGACAAGTGGCCCAAGGTTCGGTCCCCGGTCGACCCGCTCCTTTACCTTGCTTAGCCAGTAGTAAACCCAGTACGGAAGGGAGGTTGGGCACGAGGTTGGCAACCCTATCCCATTAAAGCAGCACCAGTGCTACTGAAACTTCAAAGCTCTAACTTAAAGCCTTATGTCCCACTGGAAACGCAAAGAAATAAAAATGTAAAATGAATAAAGCACAACTTAAATTTTATGACACCAATAAGTTCTATGCAGTATCCGATTTCTGGATTTGTTGAATACTTCTCAAAGTTTCCTTAATATCCAAATGATGACAATCGCTTAATCAGCCATATTTGCACATGCTTTCAGTTGTCTTTTATTGACTTTTAGTTCGGGTATCATTTTTAGTATTGAGTAAAAGGTAGGGAATGGTAATTTTACATCGAAAGCGACCACCTTTGCATTAGTCTCGAATATTGTCTACACTTACAGATGCAACATACAAGGTGTTATGAGTTCATGTATTGGTTTGTAGGGATTTGACTGATTGGTTACAGGATTTCATCATGAGCTGAAATCGGTTACAGAACCATTGGAAAACCTGGGAGTACTGGACAGCTGTTTCGTCCTCCTTTTTGGGATTCTTCATCAGTACGCACCCACCCCCAGGGTTCGAACCCAGGACCTAATGGTTACAAGGCGACCTCGTAGACCATTAAGCCACTGGGGTTACTCGGGGTTCTAGCGGGAAGTCGTGACCAGAAGGTTACAGCAGGCCCGGTGTGGGGAAAAATACTCGTCGGAGACATTGGCTAGTGGTCGCGCTATGTCGTGACTTGGCGGAAGTTGGAATTCATAGGCCATTGGATCGGGCCCCAGTGACTTAATGGTCTACGAGCTCGGCCTGTAACCATAAGGTCCCAGGTTAGAACCCTGGAGTTGGGTGCGTACTGATGAAGAGTCCTAAAGAAGGAGGACGAAACAGCTGTCCAGTACTCCCAGGTGGTTTTCCAATGGTTCTCTAACCGATGTCAGCTCATGATGAAATCCTGTTATGAGTTTATTGAACACTGAATAGTAATATCGTTGGAAAATCGGTATGACCTTTATACCTTCATCAACAGTCACATATGTTAACACATAGTTAACAAAATTCCACAGGTCATTTGAAACTCGAACAACTTATCAGTAATATTTCTGACTGTACTAGACATTTCAAGAAATAAACAGCTGCAGATTTGTTTTGCTTACGTAAGTATAAAGCCACCCATCAATTACCTCAAACCGCCTAATCTCGCAGATATTTCGAAAACATGGCTGACAAAAACAGTGCAATCTTTGAAATGCTATCTAACTGAGAAAGTGAATACTGACAATGCTTGGCATATAACTAAACTGAGCTCAAACTTTATGTTATAGAGATGATAGGCCGTGTTCCAGTTTATTGATACTTCATTTAAAGGTGTCATTACCAACAGAGATATAAGCAATCATTAGAAGGCTTCCAATAACAGCGCTAGACTTAATCTTGGCTTTGAGAATAACATCCACCTAACGGAATCTTCCAAAATATCTTGGAAATGTCATGCAAATTCTTCAAAAATACAACAAACATACCTAGTGTTAAGTTGTTATCATATTGTTCCAAAGTTTCATAGACTCTTTGAAGTATTTTATATTCTCGATAATCTACTGCAGCCTCCGTATTATTTTCTGATAAACATAAACTAGAATTCAAACTGATAGAATAAACGCAACCAGAACCATCTATCAGGACTACTTGGTTAAATTTAGACCTGAAAAATAAACAAAAATATGTATAAAAAAAATTTTATTCAAAAAACTAGGAATTGTTTAAACATATCGGAGACATTTTAATTAGTAAGACTACAGTAAAATAAAGAAATATGAATGCAACAGCAATAAGGTGTTTCCCTCAGATAACCAGCAAGCCAGCTCTGATGCCTCTCTACTCTGGAGAATGGCTGAAGGTAAGAAAAGATCGATCCCGAAAAATGTACATCCCAACTTATCTAGTGGTGGTCCGTAGCCGGCAGTAAGATAGTAATACGGACGCAATACCAAAAACAAATTCAAACAGGCCGTGTGTGATTGACCTCAAACAGTAGTCCCCTAGGCTTTACGGTCACGCAACACTAATGCTCCTTCTGTTACAGGTACTCGGAGAAGAGATCAACTTCCACAATGTAGATGATAGTCAGAAAGTAATAACCACCTACACACTCCTATAACCCTTCTTGAACATCACCCCACCAGACTATAGTATAAAGGTGATTTGTCATTTAAGTTGGTTAGTGGAAATGATATCTTGGTTGTTAAATGTGGAAAATAGAGAACTTAGTATGCTCTAAATACTAAGAGCAGCAGTCATGTAAGACAGCTGTTTTATAAATTGTTCAGTGATTATAAATTTCACACAGTTAAGTGAGAAACACAAATGACATAATTGTGCTGCAAAACAGATAGTAATGCTCAGAATTAATTAACACAGTACCTGTAATAAGGAGTTACTATGAGTGGAGAAAGTGTAGTCCAAATTATACATCAAAATCATGCAGGGGGTCATTGAAAACCAATTAACTATGGGTGGTTGTGCTGTCCTAGTTTGAGACTCTACAAAAGTGCACATCCTAGGCTTCGTGTAGGATCAGGAACACAAGCATCATTTCTTGTGACTAGCACATCATCATCTACATAAGAGGTTGACATCCAAAGGTCTAAACTTTAAGAAATCTATCGTAAAGTGAATCGTCTGAAACCTGGACAAAACAGCTATTCAACATATTGGTTCCTATCAGTTCTATTTCTGACATTTGATTATGAATAAAACTACTTCGAGACTAATTGATTCTTCCTATAAACTAATCAGTCTAATAAACTGTACATACACTTCACTCTTGTATAAAGTGAGCTAGAATTTTGGCTAAATACCATGAAATTCAAATAGTTTACTACTCAGCAAATATTTGTATTTTTATCAAAAGATGAAAAACTTTATCAAGTACTCAAAACTTCTCCCAATTCGAAATACTGGTATAAACCCATATCATGTACTGAATACTTCCATTTTTATAACCATTCAGTGTAGGCAGAATAGCTTACTCAATACACTGCTCTAAATGTTGCTGACCTTATTTCTAAATATTTAACTAGACGTGTGATCAATAGTCATTGAAAGTGAGGATAAATTTTACATCAAACAATTTTTTTACTTTGGAAGATACTGTCACTAGAATGAAATGAATGCCATGTGTGGAACAAGATCCGAAAATAACTTTACAGATGGTGACAACACAATGTCAACGTTTAAGCAACTTGAAGCCCGACACTGCCATACTGCAGCACAAATCACAGATGTCTGAATTTGGCTCAGTTAATGCGATGAAAACTTCTCCGTCCACCGTTGAGCACACCGAATGGCAGTCTCAAAATTCAGCCAGGACTTCTTCAGTGTCCTGGTAATGTGGTTCATGGCATTTTGTCAAATTTTGTCCATTCGTGAAACATATATGCCACAAATGTCGCCTTTTTGGAGATAAAGAGGGTTACCGTTCACCAAAGAAAAATTTTGCTTTGAAAAACAAACATGATTACTTCAAGCAGGCTGTTTTCACAACGTTCAAAGTCGGTTTTGCCAGGAGACAAAAGTATGTTACGCTGTCTATTAACAATAAACCTATTCGTCTTCAATCGGATACAGAGTTAGATATCGTTTTAATTTCCCACAATACGTGGTACACACTTGGGTGCCCACAGATTCTTCCGACAGAACATACCGTTAAGAATGCTTCTAGGGATGTGTTAAAATTCACGGGTGAGATCAACTGTCCTGTTCAGTTTGGTGGGCACCAACTCCATGGTGTATGTTATCTCACGAACCACCTTCATTTGAATTTACTTGGTCTGCATTGGATGGATAAGCTCAATATCTCGAATGTCCCATTAAATTCAGTGTGTTCTAATGTAACGTCATCATAAAATGATATTGTTCCAAGTCATGTATCTGACAAATCTCTATTGCAACGCTTGTGTCAAAAGTGTGCTTCTGTCTCCCAGGACAAACTTGGTCGCTACAAGTTTAATCAAGTCTTTTCGCCTCCGACGCCGAAGGTTAAGGCAGTTTCCCGTCCTAAACGCCCAGTTCCACACCGCCCCCAATATTATGGACAAACTGAACGCTTTGTCGACGTTCCTAGGAGTGCTCTCATGTAGCCGAAGGGGACAATGGGAGATAGAGTTTTGCTGCTTTATCATATGGTAATAAATGCTTCCGCCTCAAATCAGTTATCTCCATCGGGAATTATTTTTGGTCCAGAAATATAATATTTTCCAAACAAATCCAAAAAGAAAGTCCTCTAATTTTTACCGATGCGACGGGGGCATAGGAAGCGGCTAAAAATAGAAATCGATATTTTAAGCTAGTGGTTGCAGAATTCATCTTGTAATCAGATGATATGACCTTACTGTAAAATTGCATCATATTTTTCTTACCTTTGCCCTAGGCCAATCACCAACCAATCAGAACATTTATATTTCGTGGAGCTAGCTGAAACGTCTACTAATCAGAAGAACCTATTTTTCACTGCCCTAGCTATATTTTAATGCAGTTAGAAATATATAAATATGTGCTTTTTTCCTAATACAGTTATTATCCTAACAATCACAGACCAGTCTTTGTCTTTTAATATTTACGTGGCCCAACGAAGCGGAAGGTACTAAGGTAGAATAGGAGTACATAGCATCTCAGTTGAGTTGTCCATTTAGTTTGTGTTATTTATACCCACGTGTAAGTCCACTTAGTCATATCAACTGACGACGGTTCACAACAAATGGCGCCAAAATCATAACAATGATGACAGTAAAAGTAAACAGGAAAAATTACATGAACCATCTTAAAGGTCATATCAGCAGGAAACTAGTAAATTCTATAGATTAAAAACTTGAACAGTGCTTAGAACGATTCCCTGTAAGTACAACATCAATAGTTAATTGTCAAACTTTAGAATAAATAATTAAAGCTTTTAAACTGATTACTTACTTCGATTCGTTTGACTCAGGTACACAACTGTATGCATGACATTCCGTTTGAATAAGGCGAACTGGTTCTACCACATCCCAGGAAACGACTCTAGGACCGTGAACTAAACACCACAACTCCAATAGATGAAGATGTGGAGCATGAATAAGTAAACAGAGTGTCTTTCTAACTGCATTATTAGGTTGGTTATTGCTGCTGACATAAAGAATCTCTGAATCAGTAACTTCAAGAAAAGCAACTTCAGCATCTCTATATCCTAGGAGCAAACAAAATTCAGAGATAAAAAACTGCAGAGTTACTTCATCAACCTAAACGAATTGTTGATAAAGTAAATTTATCAAGAAACTTATGAAATTTCACAATCATATGAATATGAAAAACCCAATTTATATTTATGATTCATTATCTCTTGCAGTTTTTATTCATCTGTTTATAATCCAAAAAACTAATTTAGACAATTGTAGGATAGTCAATAAAACCAGTTTTGTTCTTTTTTTTCCTTCTGTTGTTGGCATTATACGTCTTATACATTGTCTCAACATGTCATGAAATTTGGGTGTATACATGTCTGAATTCACATAAAAGACTTGTTATTATTAAAAGCGCACACTACTTAAACACTCTGCTTAGTTCATTCACTACAACTAACTTTTTACGTATCATTCACAGTGAAACATATAATCAAAATGAGAACCTCAATAAATTTTAAATGAGTAAGAAAGAGGAAATGAATGTATACGTGGTGACTAACTAAATTTCAAGGTTAGAACTATGCACAAAAGTTTAGCAGTTGAATTTGGTACAGTCCATGTAGTACACGAAGGTAGAAAAAAGTATATTCGACAATAATAATAAGCAAAAATGTAAGGGAGAAAGATATGAACATGGGAAAACATAACGGTATGATTGATGCAGGAGAACACAGAAAGTGAATGCATCTGCGTCAGTCAGAACGATTTTCAACCAAATCACTAATAGTCTGCAGCCAATTGGTTCATGGCATCCCGAAGACCCCAAACAAGATAGCCTAACAGCTCCTAACATGGCTCAAAGCAATTGTCACAGACTGATGTCAGACTTTAATTTGACCACTCCTAGCTCTTTTCCAAACTAATCTAATGTCAGCTAACATTGTTCATCTAGGAAGGCGATGGCTCGACTTGTGCAACACATGTCTTAGCCAAGTTTATACACTGGCCAAAGTAATGGATGATTATTAAGTAGGAAATTCGAAGTTTTATTTTCAAATCGAACCAAAATAGAAGAAAAGTTGCATTTAGTGATACCACTTTGTCAATTCATTTATTCAGACACCATCTTTCGTTTTTTTTATCACAGTTTAACTACTTACGATGCGTAGCAAAAATGGAATTCAACTAGGTTTTTAAACAACAGAGGCAAGTGTAAAAAATTATGAAGCCGTAATAATATATATTTCTCTGTCTGTCTGTCTGTTTTCAACATAGAACTTTGCATCGATGTGCAGCAGTTCAAGTCGCCACACTCGATGTAGCACACTAAGAAAGAGAAGAAAGTGGAAGAAATGCAAAAAAGAGACAGTAAACAGGGATATGAGACAAAAGGAATAGTAGCAATGAAGAAAAATATAGTTTCATTGGGTATTATAGGTCACAAGGAGTGGATGCATCTGCACCATTGAGAACGATTTTGAGCCATTGTTTTTTACCGTCCCGAGGACCCCAACCAGGAAGTCTACACCTTCCTACGTGGCTTAAACTAACTGTTGTGGATTTCATTGACTGGTGCCATGTTTTGGTTTGACCACCGCTAGCTCTTTTCCAGCCTGACCCTATGTCCATGTCAGCTAATATTGACCGTCGAGGAAGGCGATGACTAGGCATACGTAACACATGTCCTAACCATCGACTGAGATGGTTAGGAAATGTTATATATATATATATATATATATATATATATATATATATTTCTAATATCACTGATGATATTCTTAAATATGGTGGACTGGATTAGGCGTCAGACTAGGGAGAGAGATGGGAATATATTGGACCGGTAAGACTTTAGGAGATCTGGACTGCGCAGATGATTTATGCCTAGTATTACATAAACTCGAAGACTTACAGGCGAAAACCAAAAATCAGCTGAAGGAGCAGTAAAGATCAGACTCCAGGTGAAAACAGAGAAGAAAGAAGTGATAAAGATAACCAACAGACGAACAACAACAACCAGCACCAATTACTTTCAAGGGAGAAATTTGAAAGAGGTGAATTCCTCTCTTCACTTATCTAGGAAGCATCATATCAACCACAGGTGGAACGGATGAAGACGTCAAAGACAGAATTGGAAAGGTAAGGCAGACCTTCATCATTCTGAAATCGGTTTGGAAATCTCCAATCAGCATAAAGAACATGATTCGGATTTCCAACACCAATGTTAAGTCAGTGATTCTATATGGATCAGAAACTTGGCTCGTTACGAAAAGTATTTCCGGCAGGTCACTGCAGATTTTTATCAACAGATGTCTTCGCTTCAGTATTGAAGATCAAATAGCCAGAAAGAATTAGCGACAAGAAGTTATGGGAACAAAACAATCAAGAACCTATCGCTTAACAAATATGTGGAAGAAAATGGAGATAGATTGGGCACACCGTCGAATGACATCGCACGCCAGGCCATCGCTCGAGTGGAGCCCGAATGGGAAACGACGAAAGGGTCATTCGAGAGTGACATGGAAGAGATTGTGCGAGGAGGTCAGAGATGATGGGCAATCGTAGGACCAGCTAAAGGGGAGAGCAGAAAATACAACAAAGTGGAGACGTGCTGTTGAAGCCCAATGTTCTCCTCGGAACCCAAAGGAACAATAATAATAATAATAAGTAATATACACTTCCTAATTTGTTAGTTTTGACAGTCATTTCTTGTTTCTACTGCAATTTCACGTTTACTTACCTACTCGCTTATCATTATTGAATTCACTTTATACAACATTTGAATATCATGCTGTACAACAGAAAACCCATCTATTTTAGTATATAGATATCAATGGTCTATGAACACGTTGTAATGTGAAAAAATATGCAATGGTTAAAGGCGAGTGAAAGTGTGTATATTTCCAAGTAACTTACTAATAGTGATATCATAGGGATTTTTAATGTGTTTATAAGCAGTAATTGAGATTTACAAAAGTCTGTTCTTACGCGAAGCAGCATATATAAGTGCTTCTGAAATTATTCTCCTGAGGAGATATTCAAACTTCAATTGACTTGAAGACTGTAAAGATACATAACAAAATGATGACAAAAATTTACAACTACTCACCTTTCCACATACGAACAACACGTTCTTTATATGTATCTATAAGAAGCACTCTTCCAAGACTATCAGGAACAGCCATCCAGTGGTGGTCGGATGATATACCAATGCCAGAAGACAATATACTACGACGGCTGTCAGCTAATCCATGAGACAAACTTAAAGAAATATGAGGAAGAGAATTGCACTGAACAACAGGATACGTGAGATCATTTTCACTTCCTGGCCAGGTTACAACTAAGGATTCTGAATAATTGCTAGAAAACATGTGAATAGGTTATAAAGTGAGAGATAAAATTCACAGAAAAGTGAGAAATAGCATATGAACGATGGGAATAACTCTAAATATATGTTGTATCATCATGACAGTATTTACAGAACCCACAACTAAAGCATTAACCATTGAATTCAAAACAGATTTTTAAGATTAAAGGTACTTTGTTACCTGTTAAAAACAGTTTCTTGCCACAGTGCGCCTACGCTTTAAATACAATCATAACAAATGAGTGTAATATCTTACATACAGAGTATGGACTTAACACCATATACCTAGAACAACAACAGCCACCGACCAACGTGACTGGTTCCTCATAAAATTGTATTCTATATTTCCACAATCGGCACTCAAAAAAAGAAACTTACAACACCATTGAAAAGGAAAAGAACACTTTTCAGAGACACTCCAGACAAACGCAAGAAACAAAAATCAGTCGATTATTCCCACAATTATTCACACCATTTATAGTCACAAAAAAGTTTCGTTTGAAATGTTTGATTGTAGTTGCCTCAGCAAATCTCAGTAAATTTGCTGTCCTTTGTATATTTAATATCTTGAAGGATTTAGAAATCTCGACGAAATGATACGTAGCCATGAAGGGTCTGGCAATTGCACTTTGCGAATATCTGCTTCCTTTTAGGCATCAGTTTCTCGTGATATGCTCGGAAAAGATAGATAGAAGTTTTTCTTTCTGTCCTTCCAATGTACTTACTCCTGCAAGTACACGTAAATTTATAAACTCAGTTGGAGGTGACATGAGCAGGGTACTTATCTAGTTCAGAGTGGCTTATAGAGCATTTGGCGCTTTATACTGTTACAAGATAGTTTGTATGGAAACATCTTTTCGTTGCTAATTTTATTCTCTTGTCAATCATTTGTGATACTGCTTCTCCTTTGAATGTCAGACAAATAAACACTTTCTTCTTTTCAACAGTCAGGTGTTTCATTTTCTCGTGTTTCTGTTTGATATACTTTAGGATAATTCCCTTTGCATACCCATTTTTCCCTAGGCATTTCTCAACAAAGCCTAATTCTTCCAGTTTGTTGGATGAACATAGCCTCCTGGCTCTGTTGTGCAGTGTTTTCCCTAATCCACGCTTATAGCTTAAAGGACAGAAGCAGTTAGAGTGAAGATATTGTCCGGTCTAGATTTCTTTTCTATAGATGAACTTTATGATTGTACCAAAGAAATTTATCAAGGGAACCAAGTGCATGAGAAACAAGTGTCAGGTGAATGAAAATCGAAAACCTGAAACTCACTGTTTCAACCCAAACATGGCACGTTTGGCCTCTTGGTAAATAAAAGATGCGAAATGGGAGGCTCCAGGATCCGTATTCTAAAAAGGAAACAAACAACCTTAACTAACCACGAAAAGGGACAAAGAGAAACAAATATAACTGACGAATTTATAGTTACCTCATTCAAGAAGCTGAAGCTTATGAAAGGATTCGAGCCAACCATTGTCCACCTAGTTTGCTTTAATGGTACACCAATCTTTTTTTCACGACAGTGTGATTCAAAAGCAAACTTTTTTACTAATGAATCAAATGTTCCAATTTGGTATTTGGCTGGAACAATCGTGTTATATGAAGGTACACTTACTCAGAGATGAAAAGTGATGTTTTTCACCATCAGTAGGAATGGCCAAATTTCGATAACGAATTTTCCTAGTATATTCAACGCTGAAGTTATTATACAATTGGTGAGAAGGTTCAGATAAATATGCACAACTATTTAGCAGAACACCTTCCAGGTCGCTGAGGTTTAGACAAGTAATTGTGTTCTTGCATAATACACACAAATTCTCCTACTGAAAATGAAACGAAACAACACAGTCTTACACCACATGAAGTGATTTGCAAGGAGGTCACAGAACCAAGTCCATCTTTGATGCCCAAAAGAATTCTACCAGCCTATAGTGAAAATACTAGGTGAAAAAAATACTGAAATACGTACCTCATCTAAAAAAAGTAATTTACCGTCTGCAAGTCCAACGACGATAACACTCCAACCACGTTTAGCATCACTGGTATTTCTGAAAATGAATCGGTATCACTAAACAAGATTCTTCCTTACGAAGAGAAATTCAGATAATTAATTGCTGTGATATAACTAAAGATGCATAGAGTTTAGCACTTTTAATACCTTGAACAGTTCAGATTGGTAGTCAGAACAAACTTGTCACGACTCCCAGATAATCCTTCAGCAACTTATTAAAAACCAATAGATAATTACCTTGATAAATAAGCAATCTCTTCTGCGACCCGATAACAACAATACCCAGGCTCCAAGGTATGCAAAATACAGCATTTCGTATCAGTTCGGAAGGTCTGTCAACCTCAGAAAAGTCACATTTTAAGATTGCATCAAGTGACATTCGAGTTTGATCAACTGAGTTGTCTTGGAAACCTTGACGCAAGTGATTCCAGTAGTGAAAAGCTAAAATACAGTTAATGGAGGAAAATGTAAACTGTTAGTTCTACAATAAGCCCAATTAATATATGTGGGATTAATAATCTTTAGAATAGACATTTACCGATTTCGCCCAATCCACCAGTATCGGCAAAAGCATATACTTACCATCCTTAGAAGTATACTATATTAAAACCGATTCCAGGGCTTCGATAAGTGACAAGTAACCAGAGAACTTCAATTATAAACACAAAGACCTTAGTGTTGGAAACACCAGTTTATCAACGGCTTATCCAAGTTCCATGACACAATGGAAAACAATGCACAGCAATATACTGATTCAGATGGATGCAATTTGCCGAAAAAAGATGGAAAGGATATTAGTGATATTAAGCTACATCATCTAATTCCCAATATGTCATTATTTCTTTTAAGAAACAAAAGTGATATAGCAAAGCGGTTAACCGCACTAACGTTAGTGCATTTTTACATGCGTGAACATAGGAACGATGAGGTTGCCAAATTCATTTTAATGAACGCAATGCAAAGAATTTTCTGAAAGTTAGGATGCAATTACGTAATTGCAGCATTGTATTCTGGTTCAACAATCGTGCCTGTGTCCATTGTTATGGCCTTAGGCATGAAGCAGACATTTAATACACAAAACTCACTTGACAAAAACTTCTTACTTTTTCAAATGCAGCGTTACAACCTAAATTCCTAAAATCTCGATACCACTAACTACGAAGACAACCATTGTGGCCACCGGGTGAGAAAACTTATGAGATGAACTACGATTCATCCACTAATTTCTGTCGCTTTTTCAACCTCAATTTATTTTTCAGCCTGCAAATTTTCTTATGGCATTCTTTATAAATAAATAAGACCATAGCAAATTTAAAACCATCCACATACTTTGCTAATGTAAAAGTAACGTAAAACACAAAAAGACCCCGCTTCGTGTGACCTCCGATTCCAATATACAACACTCCTATCACATCTGCTTCTTAGTACTGAGCACAGGCAAGAGTAAACAATATATACCAAAGTCAAATGACCTCGATTTGACCAATCAGATAGATCAACATTACAAGTGGTTGCTGGTTATAATCCTCTTTGAAAATGTCTCCTATTCTTCACTGTTGCCCTTAGCACACTGTTCCTTACTTACAGAGGATTCCCGCTCGGTTAGTCCTATCACACGAATAGCGTTATTTTATTAGACACTAATAGACGTCGAGGGATGACCAATTTCAGGGACAACTAGCTGTCTATGTTAAGACCATTGAATTGATGTGATGGAAGTCACTCCACTCGCCAAACTAAAATGATTATGTCAGCAAAGATGAAATTGTGAAATAAGTACTCATAACTGAGGGACCAACTCCACTGGATTTTCTGCAGTTTGGCGACAACCATAGTGTGCTTTGTGTAGAGCGGAAATAAAATTAATTCGTTTTACGACTTGGCTAAGAAGTTTCTCGCGATAGCGATATTAATCATCTAGTGGGACCACCAGTTACTATAAACGTATGTCCATTAATAGTGACTGAATTCTTCAACTCAGTCAGCAAACCTTCCTGGCTTATCACAGCATTCAATAACTTCACTGTAAGTGTAGAACTTGGACACTGTGATAGGATGTAATTCCATATTAGGTATTATTATTATTGTTCCCTTGGGTTCCTAGTGGAACATAGGACTTCAAACGCACGTCTCCACTTGCTTCTGTCTTCTGCTGTACTTTTCACCTGCATCCATGTTAGTCCATACTGTTTCAGCTCCTCTTCACACGATCTCCTCCATGTCACCCTTGGACGTCCCACTCACCGCTTCCCTTTCGGGTTCCACTCGAGCTATGGCCTGACAAGCGATGTCACCCAACGGCCTCCTCAGCGAGTGTCCAATCCATCTCCACTTTCTCCTGCATATTTGTTGGGCGATTGGTTCTTGTTTTGTTTGTTCCCATAGTTTCTTGTTGGTGATTCTTTCCGGCCATCTAATCTTCAGCATAGAGCGAAGACAGCTGTTGATAAAGGTCTGCAACAGGCTGTTGGAAATATTCTTTGTGACCCGCCAAGTTTCTGATCCGTATAGAAGAACTGACTTGACGTTTGCATTGAAAATCCGAATTTTGTTGTTGATGCTGAGTGACAGCGGAAGATTTCCAGATTGGTTTCAGGTTGATGAATGTGTTTCTCGCCTTCCCGATTCTCGATTTGACATCCTCGTCCGTTCCTCCTGTAGTTGAGACAATGCTCCCTAGATAAGTGAAAGAAGTAACCTCTTTCAAATCCCTCCCGTTGATGGTGATTGGCGCTGGATGTTGCTGCTGTTGTTGTTGTTGGTTGGTTATTTTCATAACCTCCGTCTTGTCTATGTTCACCTGGAGTCCTGTCTTTGCTGCTTCTTCGACCAGTTTGTCGGTTCTCGCTTGTAAGTCTTCGATTTTGTGTGACATCAAACATAAATCATCCACGCGCGAAATCCAGGTCTTCTAGGTTCTTCACGTCGTTCCAGGATATCCCTGTCTTCTCGTTTCCCACTGTCTGACGCATAATCCAGTCCACCACAATTAGGAATATCATTGGTGATAATAAGCACCCTTGTCTGACTCCTGTGTTTACTCCAAACGCCTCGCTGAGTTTTCCGTTGTGGATCACTTGGCATGTGCCGTTGTCGTACAGCTGTTGAATAAGGTTGATGAATATTTGGGGTACGCCGTAGTACTCGAGTAGTTTCCAAATTACTTCGCAGTCAACACTGTCGAAGGCCTTCTCAAAGTCTATAAAGTTGAGGTAGAGATTTGATTACCATTCCATGCTTTGTTCTGTGATGATGATGCGTAGAGTTGCAATTTGGTCAGAACATGATTTGCCTTTCCTGAATCCAGCTTGTTCTGGTCGGAGTTCTGTATCCAGTGCGTCCTTTATTCTCTCCAGGATGATGCGACTCAGAATTATACTTGGCGTCGACAGGAGCATGATACCTCGCCAGTTCTTACAGAGTCATAATTCGCCCTTCTTTGGTAGTTTCACGAGGTACCCTTCTCTCCAGTCAGTAGGCACATTTCCGTCCTTCCAGACCTTCTGCAATAATGGAGTCAGCATATCTGCTGTCGTCTCTGAGTCCGCTTTCAGTGCTTCAGGGGGTATTCCATCTGGTCCAGCTGCTTTTCCAGATTTCAGAAGCTTGATTGCACTCAAGACTTCAGCTTTCGTTGGAGGATTGGTGTCAACTTGCAGTTGTGTACGTGCTGTTGTTGGTATTTCTGGACGAGTTGCAGGTGGTGGTTGGTTCAAGAGTCCTTTGAAGTGATCCGCCCATTGTTTAATCTGTCTTTCTTCCTTGGTAATTGGGTTCCCCTGGCTGTCTTTTATAAGTTTCAGTTGTGTTGATCTCTTATAATAATAATAACAATTTATATTTCGTATAAACGGGTAAGTTTACATGAAATGCATGCCATTTTTACAGGCACGATCAATTATGTTACGAATTACAATTGTGAATTAGCATACATTATCACTCTTTTTTAAAGTTTAAATTGTTGAATTATAGTACAAGCAATCGGAACAGATTCTTATAATTGTTAATTTGTAAATCTTTCACGAAGGGGTGATGATATACGTTATAACGTGTTAAATCTTCCGCGCTTAAGGGTTTTCTCGGCTTTCATTGACTAGAACAGTGGCGGCTAGTTTGATATTTAATTTGTCCTAGGTAGGTGATATCCTGGGCAGGTTTGTGTGGTTGCGGCATGCGTTGTTTGCAAGCATGCTTGATGAACATAAATGTAAAATTTGATTATTCTAACGTTTTCTTTCACTTACTTTGTGCATGTACAGGGCTTGGTTTAGCATACACTCGGTTTGTTGGCCTGTCGGTTGTTGGCGATGTCAAGGAACCCGTGAGTTCTTGGGCTTTTCTCGATTTTAGGTTATACGTGTATCATTTTATTGATGGATATTGCTCAGTGATGTATTTCAATATTGCTTTTTCTACGGAATTATATTTAAACAGTTGCGAGACAGATGGATACTTATTGACAAAGCCTTCTTAGTTTATTATAGGTAGGCAATGCTAGTGAAAGCACTGCAGACGTCAGTGGAATTTTCGGTGAAGTAATGCTGGGAAGGTGTTTCTTTAGCTGGGAGGAATTTGAGAATTCATTTGGAGAACTTCAAAAAGTGAGGAAGTCATTTAATGCTAACAATGTAGTTGTCCTGCACTCACTATGTGGTTGCCGCAGATTACGCGGGAGAAGTAATCGCACAAATGGACCATTTTCTTAATGTGTAAACTAACTACTTTCGTATTACAATAAAAATAAACTTTTCCTATTAACACTGTTGTCTTTCTGTTCGTGTGTTCGCTTTGGGAGTACGGGATGCTAGACCGGTGCTCCCTAGGATATGAATTCGTTACTATGCGTAAGTTCAATTCTGTAGGAACACTATCCATCGATAAAAATGGTGAATTAGAAGTACTTAATACAAGTCTAAAAATCTGCCTAGAAGTACGCGATTACGTCTCCCAGTCATAGATAAATCTGTAGGGACTAATGAAAAAAATACCTAACTTCAGTATTTAAAAACTAAGAATAGAACTTAGGCCCTGCATTTGAGTTCGATTTCGTATGAAGTTAAGTGTAATCACAAGTATTGCATTACTATTATCTCACTTAAAGCGTGATGTCAATCCATATGACAACGGGTGTAAAATGAGGTTTACACGAGACGAGTAATTTAATAGGTTGAGCTGTAGCAATATTAGTACGATTTCGCTTACGTTGAATTACGCCTACAATTACTTTCTCAGGTCTCATTGGTAGGTCAGGCCTCCATCTCGTCATAATAACAAATTTAGTTTCACTGAGATAGAATAAGAAAAGTATGGTAAGCAGGATGTTAAATATATTTAATGAAAAATAATAAGCGAATGTCTTTACACAATTGTTTCTCGTAA